ATTGCTTCCAACAAGAAGTCTGCCATAATTCTTACTTTTGTTCCTCTGTACATAATATGTTTTTTTCTTTGGCTGCTTTTGAGATTTTCTATTTTTCACTAGTTTTAAGTAATTTGATTATGATAAGACCTTGTATAGTTTCATGTTTTACATATTGCTTTACTTCATTTAGTTTCTTGAATCTGCATGTTTATAGTTCTCAGCAAATTTGAATAATAATGATATACATTATATATGGGATGTATAATATATCATATATATGGCATATATATCAAATGTATATATGTTTTATTTTTTATCTCTATCCTCTCCTTCAAAGACTCCAATTATATTTGTGTTAGCTGTTTTGAAATTACCACAGCTGACTAATGGTCTGTCCATTTTTGTTGTATCTTTTTTTCTCTCTTTGTTTCTTTCTACTTCCTTGTCTTGGAATTGATGAATCTTTCTTTAGCAGCATCTAATCTGCTGTTAGTCCTAGCCAGTGTTTTTCATCTCAGGCTTGATTTTTCCTCTAACTTTAATTTAGGTCTTTTTAAAAAATGTCTCATGTAACTTCTCATCATTTCATATTTTCCTCTATCTTCTTCATTTTATTTGATTCTATTTTTTGAGACAGAGTCTCATTCTGTTGCCCAAGCTGGAGTGCAGTGGTGGCATTTCAGCTCACTGCAACCTTCACATATCGGGTTCAAGCAACTCCTGTGCCTCAGCCTCCTGAATAGCTGGGTTTACAGCCACGTGCTGCCACACCTAGCTCATTTTCATATTTTCCATAGGGATGGGGTTTCACCACATTGGCCTGGCTGGTCTCGAACTCCTGACCTCAGGTGGCCTGCCCACCTTGGCCTCCCAAAGTGCTGGGATTACAGGCATGAACCACTGCACCCAGCCTAGTTTCTTTAATACAAGGAATATAGTTACATTTGTTTCATGTCCTTGTCTACAAATTCTGTCATCTGTGTCCTTCCTATTGTGTTTAATTCTCATCTGATGTATCCTTTCTAAGTCAGTTAAAGTGGATTGATTTCTTTTCCCCTCTCATCACAGATCTTAGTTTTCTGTCTCTCTGCATTCCTAACATTATTTGATTTGGTGTTAGTGCCAATTGTAACTTATTGAGTGCTGAACTTTTTGCATTTTGTGTTAAAATTGGTTTAGCTTTGTTTGGTATACAATAAAGTTACCTAAAGAACAATTTGCTTCTTTTCAAGCTGGATTTTTAATTTTTTAAGGCAGAATAAAAGCAGCTATTAGTCAATGGCTCTTTTTTTCCCCACTCTGGAGGCAATATGCCTTTTTTAAAAATATACCTTATTTTTTAGAGTAGTTTTAGATTCACAGCAAAGTTGAACAGGAAGTACAAAAAGTTCTCATATACCCCTTGCCTCTACACATGCATAGCCTCCTCGACTATCACCATCTCTCTCCAGAATGGTACATTTATTACAACTGATGAACTGACACTGACATGCTATTATCAGCCAAAGTCCATAGTTTGCATTGGGGGCAATACTCTTTTGCATATTCTAAGCCAGTGGTCTCCAACAGTTTTGGCGCCAGGGATTGGTTGCATGGAAGACAAATTTTTCCACAGATGGGGTGGGGGTGGGGTGGTAGGTGTGGGCTGATGGTTTCACTCTGAAACTCTTTCACATCCAATCATCAGGCATTCGCTAGAGTCTCATAAGTAGCGTGCGACCTAGATCTCTCGTGCGACCTAGATCTCTTGCATGTACAGTTCACAATAGGGTTTGTGCTCCAATGAGAATCTGATGCCATCGCTGATCTGACAGGGAGCGGAGCTCAGGCGGTAAAGCCTTCTCGCCGCTGGTCACCTTCTGCTGTGCGGCCCCATTCCTAACAGGTCACGGACCAGCGCTGGGGGTTGGGGACCCCTGTTCTAACCAATGCTTCCTTTATTAAAAGGGTTTTTCGTAGTTCGTACAGAGTTCGTCTCTGCAAGCGTGGTCGCCCTGGGATGGATTCCTCCTCCCCTTCCTCCGCGGCGGGTTTGGGTGCAGTGGACCCGCAGTTGCAGCATTTCATCGAGGCAGAGACTCAAAAGCAGCGCTCCCAGCAGCTGGTGCACCAGATGACTGAACGCTGTTGGCAGAAGTGCGTGGACAAGCCTGGGCCACCGTTGGACAGTCGGGCTGAGGCCTGTTTTGTGAACTGCGTTGAGCGCTTCATTGTTACAAGCCAGTTCATCTTGAATCGACTGGAACAGACGCAGAAATCCAAGCCAGCCTTCTCAGAAAGCCTTCTGACTGATCTCAGCATTACCTCTTTGGAAAAGGAAAGTCGTTTAAGGAGTGAAGAGCTGTTGATGGGATGACTGAAGAAACAGCTGATTGAAGATTGGCTGCCATCTTTTGTTACTCTTGGGACATCCTGTCATCTGAGAAGGAACAAAGACAAATTTTTTTGTCTGTAGAGCTCGAGGGTCCTATGTTTGCTTGCATTTTAATGCTAATCTTGTGAAAATAATTGACAAATGAACGGAAAACTCTATTAGACGCATATTACTGTATATGGGACTATGCTTTTCTCCAAGCCCCATTAACTGCTTCCTAAAATTGTGATAGTGGGACCACATATGTAAAAATGTCTCATTTGTGTGGAATCATTTCTGATTTCAGGGGAGATCCTTGTCTATTAGAAAGGGCAGTAATGGGGGAAGAAAAATTTGGCATCCTTATCTTGTGCTTGATTAAAAATGCTAGAGAAAAAGATCTGTAAGAGTGTTTATACAGTACACTTAAGTTTTCTTGATGATCTGCCTTTCCTCTATGGTGATTTACTTAAATATCCATATTAAGTCTAGTCTCAAGGTCGGGTAGGCAGTGTGAGTCTAGAGGCCTTTAGTTATAAAGGAATCTAGCCAGTGAACATAATTTTTATTACTAGACTGCCACAAAGAAGAAGTTAACTCGCCCTATATATCAGGATACAAAAAAATTCAATGATGTGCCTAAATAAGTTATAAAGATTTAGGCCAATCAGAATCTGACAGCAGTTTCAGGTAGAGGCGCCTGCCTAATGTTAATCAGTGTAGATCCCATTTACTGCATTCTTTTTTTCTTTTCTTTTTTTTTTTGAGACAGAGTTTTGCTCTTGTTACCCAGGGTGGAATGCAATGGCACAATCTCGGCTCACCGCAACCTCCGCCTCCTGGGTTCAGGCAATTCTCCTGCCTCAGCCTCCTGAGTAGCTGGGATTACAGGCACGCGCC